AAAACTTCTCTTAAACGGGAAAAAATTCAGACTGCCTTCTTTCCCGTGGCACCATTCAGTGTCAGAAGAGAATGTAAGACTGTCAGAACGTCTCCACAATTCTGAAAAAAAGAAACTATAAGCCAAGAATACTATCCCCAGCCAACACATCATACAATTTGGTAAAGACAATAGGCAGAAATTCTTGGGTAGGAAAGAAGTCAGAAAATATGGTCCCCTTCCTAGGGAGGAAATATGACTTAACAATGAAATGCATGTAATTAATACAGAAATGGAAATACAGATAGCTCAGGAATGCAGAAAGCATCAAAAGAGGACTGATAGTGAGCGTTAAAACCCTTCTGATGAGAAATAACAAAAAATCATTACCGGACTAGGTGGCTCACACCTGCAATGTCAGCACCCTGGAAGGCCAAGGCAGGTGAATTGCTTGAGCCCAGGAGTTTGAGACCAGCCTAAGCAACATGGTGAAATCCCATCTCTGTATAAAATACAAAAATTAGCAAGGTGTGGTGCTGCATATCTGTAAGCCCAGCTACTCAGGAGGCTGAGGCAGGAGAACCGCTTGAACCCGGGAGGCGGAGGGTGCAGTAAGCGGAGATCACACCACTGCACTCCAGCCTGGGTGGCAGAGTAAGACCCTGTCTTACCAACAACAAAGATTACAGAGATTATGGTCACAGGACACAATCTAAATGTTATAAAAGTGGACAATAATACAATCAACACAATCGGGATATGGGGGGAAAGAGACATGAGAAAAAAACGTGAGAATTCTGTCCTCAGTTTTCATAGTCAAGGGTCAATAGATACTACCTAAAATGGAAACAAGATAAGATCTGTTTCACAAGCTATTGACTTTACTGGAGTCTTTTGGGAAATTATCTCTGCTGTAAAAAACATATTTCTTTAAAGTTTACTAATTCCTTTAATTTTACTGCAGCTTCTCTTTCTTCTGTCACATTCAGTGAAATTTTAATACTTTTTTATTTTTTTTTGAGATAGAGTTTCATTCTTGCTGCCCAGGCTGGAGTGCAATGGTGTGATCTCGACTCACTGCAACCTCCATCTCCCAAGTTCAAGTGTTTCTCCTGCCTCAGCCTCCTGAGTAGCTGGGATTACAGGCATGCACCACCACACCCAACTAATTTTCTGTATTTTTTGTAGAGTCAGGGTTTTACTATGTTGGCCAGGCTGGTCTCAAACTCCCAAACTCAGGCAATCCACTCACCTTGGCCTCCCAAAGTGCTGGAATTACAGGCGTGAGCCACCGTGCCTGGAAGAATACCTGGAGTAGCGTTCACCTAATATTACTTATGGCTATTTCTGGGCTGGTAAGATCTGGAGTGTTTTGGGGTTTTTTGTATTTCAACCTATTGAACCCACCAATTGGTGGTAGGAGTACCATAATATAACGGGTGATTATTTTTGTAATTAAGGAGTTAGGTACAACTTTCTAAGTATGGCACAAAAGCTAGAACCCATGGAAGCCATCATTAACACATCTGGCTACAGACCAGGTGTGATGGCTCACACCTGTAAACCCAGCACTTTGGGAGGCTGAAGCAAGAGGATTGCTTGAGGCCAGGAGTTCAAGACCAGCTTGGTCAACATAGTGACGCCCATCTCTACAAGAAAAAAAATAAATTTAATTAGCTGGGTATTGTAGTGCATGCCTGTAGTCCCAGCTCAAGGGGCTGAGGTGGGAGGACTGCTTGAGCCCAGGAGTTTGAGGTTGCAGTCAGCTTTGACTGTGCCACTACACGCCAGCCTGGGCAACAGAGGCTCACAAAATAATCAAAATAACATAAATCAACGAAGAGAAAAAAAAACATTTGGCTATAGAAACTGCCAAATGTTCTACAAATGCTTGATGAATACACTCTCGATATTCATGGTCAAACTAATAATGATACAACCATCTGTGTAAGTCCCAGTTTACCAAATCAGAAATCCAACTGTCTGGCTGCTTGGTCATCAAGAGAATTCTGCCCTACAGGCTTCTCTGAGGGTAGAAAGAGCTCTGAGAAAAACCATCCAGCCCATGGCCCTCCCCACACACCCAAGGAACATCATCTGAGAAGCCACTCTCCCCTCAGACAAGCTGACCTAGGCTGACACCTTCACTCAAACAAACAGCAAGTCTCACAGCTAGAAAGCCAACCCTCACTCGACCCTGCCCAGGACCCTGCCCCGGAGCTTAATCGGCTCATTCTTCCCCTGCCTCCTCCTGCCCTCCCAGCTACCGCTCTCCTCCATACCCTAAAAGGATGCGTTCTCCTCTTCCAGCTCCGGCTCCCAGGAACTTCGCCTCAAGCCTTGGCACAGTCAAAGCCCACCCAGGGTGGGAAATTTCCAGACAGCGCAGGAGGGCAGCCAGCAGAGCCCACTCACTCTCCCTGTGAAACTTCGCTCTGCTGGGAAGCACAGGATGGGAAAACTAAGAAAAATAATAATAAAAAAGAGAAACTCAGTGGTGATCCAGAAGCAGGGAACAAATATAGAACCCTGAGCCTGCTGTTCACCAACTAATATTTACTGAGCCCCCATTGTGTGTACCAGCGCCTGTGGGAGGAGGTTATGAGGCAGACGGGTGGTCAGGGCCCCAGGCAGGCGGCACAGACAGGGAATGGCTTATTTAGCCCCATGCTGAGCGCAGAGTGAGTGTAATGACAGCCGGGCCCAAGCACTGGAGCCAGGAGGGAGGGAGGGAGGGAGGGAGCACATTTGCCAGGCTTGCTCCAGCCCAGCTGGAGCCGGAGCAAAGGGGACTTCCCAAAGCAACTGAGTCAGGTGGGCAGGGACGGGGAAAGGCCCGCAGCGGCCAGCCGGTGTTTTCCCCACCCGAGGCCAGGGCCAGAGTCACCTCACTTCTCATCATTCACCCATCAACATTTCCCAGACAGTTGCAAAATTCTCCCTGTTGTCCAAGATCACTCCCGCTTGTCAGACCATGGGGCCGGACACGAGGCTTAGGAAACACAGTTCTCACTTCCATCACTTACGCCACCCCCGTGAAGCAGAACTTCCCAGCTTGTTATTCGGGATCAGATAAATAAATAGAAAACATGATCTAGTGGCCAAATCGTTGGACCACATGACGTGTCACACACCCTGGGTTCAACTTTGGGGCCTGCGAGTAACTTCCCAAGTGTATCTAGCACAGTTAAACTGTGAAAGCACCGAGCTTGCAGAGGGACTCTGATCAAGACAGACCTTAAAGGATGCGTGGCATAGCACTGAGGCCAGTGCCTTCCTAGTTCCCTATCTTCTGACTTCTCAGGATAACCCCTTCACTTCGTCCTGAATTCTGCTTCTGTTCAGTTACCTTCCCGTCCAGGAAGCCGTCTTGGATCACTTTTCCAGCCTTTTCTCTGGCTATTATGGACTCCTCATTACCTTGTCTTCCAGGGAGCCCCCCCCAGCTAGATGTGTATTCCTTGAAGATAACTTCCTGAAATGCATCCTTCTCTCCATTTCTTCTATGTCCTCCTCTCCTCCCTGGCTGCAACAGTGTCTGGTATAGTGCTGGGCACATGTGGGGCTAGAGACAGAGAAGTTTCGCCTCTCTTATAACTGAAGTCTGCCTGCATTGCCCCTGCAGCCTGGTAAACACCAGGGAGCTCAGAACCACCTTCCTCCTGGGCCACAGACCAACTGTAACCCAGACCATCTGAAGTCAAGTGTCATGACCACCTATTACACACTTGTCTAGAGTAAACAATCCCTGACCTTGAATTTCATTTATATTAATTGAACTAAAAGCTAGCTCATTATCACGTACTGGCTTTAAAAATTCACTCCAAGAGTTTATCCATTTAACAAATACTTACTGCTTACCAGTTATGTACCAGAAGTCGTGCTGGGTACTGGGGATGCAAAGGACCTTGTACCTGCCCTCAACGCCGCAGGAAAAGCAAACAAGTCAACTAGAAACCTAACCTGAACGATGACGACAAGGGGGATGTATAGGTCAGGGGCAGTTAGGCAATTTCAGCAGAAAGGGACTTTGTACAGGATATTAAAAGGCCTAGAGACTCCTTGGAAGAGCTGAATTAAAAAGACTCAAGCAGCTCCTGAGCTCCCAGCAGCTACCTGCAAAGATCAAGTTGCAGAACTGGGCTGCCACCAAGCAGCTATGGCACAAGAAGCCACCTGCTCCAGAATCACACTGTCCCTGCCGTGAGCCACACCAGGAAAATGCATGTCCCACCATCTGCCCTCCAGAAGAAAGTGTCCGGGCTCTCCCTGCAGGGCTGTCACACACTTAAGGCTGGTTCAAGGCCTGGATGTGGTGGCTCGCCCCTGTCATCCCGACAGTCTGAGGGGCTCAGGTGGGAGGATTGCTTGAACCAAGGAGTTTGAGGCTGCAACAAGCTAAGATTGCACCTCTGCACTCCAGCCAGCGCAACAGAGCAAGACCGTCTCTGCTAAGAAAAAAAAAGTAAAAAATTTTAAAAAGCCTTTCAGCTGGAACCACCATCTCCCAGCGATTTGCCCAAATGGTGAACACAAAGGGAAAGAGGAGAGGTGCCTGAGAGACGTTCTCCAGGCCTTCTAGAAAATAGACTTGTAGGCTGGGCGTGGTGGCCTATGCCTGTAATCCCAGCACTTTGGGAGGCCGAGGTGGGCAGATCACTTGAGGCCAGGAGCTCAAGACCAGCCTGCCCACCATGGAAATAGTCCTTTTCTACTGAAAGTACAAAAATTAGCCAGGTGCAGTGGTGCACGCCTGTAGTCTCAGCTACTCTGGAGGCTGAGGCAGGAGATTCGCTTGAACCCAGGAAGTGGAGGTTGCAGTGAACCGAGATTGCGCCACTGCACTCCAGCCCGGGCAACAGGTAAGACTCTCTCTCCAAAGAAAAACCATGGAGTTGTTATTACAGCACGTTCTACTGTCAAAAAGAAAGAAAACATGGAGTTGTTCCTTTGACCACATACATGGGAATCTATTAAGGTGATACTGAAGGCATTAGACATCAAGTGAATGGGTACTGTTCACAAAAGGAATAACCCACCAATGTTACTATGGCAAAACATCTGCAGCGTTCCCCAGCGTGCTATAGGCATTGCCGTAAACAAACAAGTTAAGGGCAAGATTCTGGCCAAGAGAATGAATGTGTGTACTGAGCACAGAGAGCACTCCAAGAGCCGAGACTGCTTCCTGGAACGCGTGCAGGAAAACCAGAAAATGAAGGAAGCACTAGCTGGGCACAGTGGCTCACGTCTGTAATCCCAGCACTTTGGGAGGCTGAGGCAGGTGGATCACTTGAGGTCGGGAGTTCAAGACCAGCATAATCAACACGGAGAAACCCCATCTCCATTGAAAATACAAAATTAGCTGGGTGTGGTGACGCACGCCTGTAATCCCAGCTACTGGGAAGGCTGAGGCAGGAGAATCGCTTGAATCCGGGAGGCAGAGGTTGCGGTGCGCCGAGATCGCGCCATTGCACTCCAGCCTGAGCAACAAGAGCGAGACTCCGTCCTCCCCTCCCCAAAAAAAGATGGAAGTGTAAGAAAAAAAGAAGGAAAGAGGGTTCAACCGAAGGGCCAGCCTGGCCCACCCAGAGCAGGGCACCGTGAGGACCACCAGTAGGTGCCTGAGCTGCTGGAATCTCTTCCCTGTGAATTCACGGCATAGCAGATGTGGAAACCCAGAGACCCTGTACTGTAAAGAGACAGCAAAGGAGTAAAATAAGTATTCAGAAATGTAAACTCCAACTCTCTGGCAGCAGTACCCTGGGCAAAATGTGCCTCCAAGGGCCTCTCGCAAGAAGCTTGTGCACACCCCACCTCTCAAAATGGGTGACAGCCTCCCTGAGCCCCTCACCTCACCACCCGGGGAGGGAGGTGGGCCACTGGCAAACATTTAGCCTGTGTTCTGCTCACGTCTATCCACTGGCCCAGGACAAGCACCCTCACTGCAGCAGCGAGGCATGCTTGGATTCCCTGGGCAGCAAGTGGCCCCCAGAAGCCAGGCCCCAGCTGCAACCCCACTGCTGGGCCTGAAGCCAAGACCACCTGCCTCCAGCCTACCCCACCTCCCTCGGGTCTTCCTGCACCACTACCTCCCCACCCTCAAGCCCACTGAAGCCCAATTCTTCCTTAAGACCTCACCCATGCCAGTCTGCAGCTGAGATGCGGAGTTGTGTGTGGTAATTTCTCCAGGAAAAGGGTTCTCAAAGTGCGGTTGCTGGAACACAGCATCACCATCACCTGGGAACTTGCTAGAAGCGCAAACTTAGCATTCCCCACCATGACACCCACTAACTCTGCAATTGGGCCATCAATTTGGGTTTTATTAAGTGCTCAGGCGACCACGATGCACACTGAAGTCTGAGGGCCACCACTCTCAGAAACACAGGCCGAGCTTTCTCATTCCCACTCCAGCTCTCTTAACCAACGCAGGTAAGAAGGGCCCTTCCCGTCCAGCACCTGCGTCATCGCTGCTCCACAGGGCACTACCAGGGCACCAGCAGAGCAGGGCACGACCAGGGCACCAGCAGAAAAGGCTGGGGCTGTATCTTGAACTTTTGATTTCTCAGTAACTAGAAATACTTATTAATAAAAACGAATTAATAAAGAAGCCCTATTCTCCTGAGAAAGAGGGTTACCGAAAAAAAGAAAGAAAGGAAAAGCCCATATTTCCAAATTGGGTGAGAAAGGTAGACAAATGAATCATAATTCCTCCATTTTCCCTCCGGCTGTCCAAACCTCCCACACAGCACATTCTTCTGGCTCAAGGTCACTGGCAGCCACCATCCCATTACTGAAGCTAAGGCCTTCCCACATCCCCTGCTTTCTCTCTGTGGGGCTCACCACGAACCCAGAGCATCTCCTAGGATTCCAGGCTCCTGCACAGAAAGAAACACTCCAGGCCCTGTTCTCTCCTGGCCACACAGCCCCTCCCTTCCAGAACCTCCTCCCCTCCCTCCTTTCATCACCGCCCCACCCCACCCAAAGCACAGCTCCCAACACTCCCCCCGCTCCAGCTCCGTGCTACGGCCCCTCTGCCTGGGAGTCAGGGGTCTCTCCCACTGGTCTCCCGCCCACTGTCACCCTTATCGGCCACTGCTCTGTTGCCTGGGCCCTGGGCTCCATCTGACAAGTTCCACCCCTCCATCCTACACCTTCCTATCTCCACACCCCTCCTGGCCACAGGACTAGGAAGTCCCCTTCATGTCAGTGGTTCACACGCGCCCCACAAGGTGTGAAGGTCCCGGATGGAAGAAAACAGGTATCTTGCAGGACTGAGGACCATCTTGGATCCACCCCAATCCTCCAGCATCAGTCCCATCCCCATCCAAGAAACAGTCTTACCTCCTGCTTAGTTTCAATATCATCATACAGTACTAGAATGACACATCTTATATTTTAGGCTTTTTTTTTTTTGAGATGGAGTTTCACTCTGTTGCCTAGGCTGGAGTGCAACGGCTCGATCTCAGCTCGCTGCAATCTCTGCCTCCCGGGTTCAAGCGATTCTCCTGCCTCAACCTCCCAAGTAGCTGAGACTACAGGTGCCCCATACCATGCCCCACTAATTTTTGTATTTTTAGTAGAGATGGGGTTTCACCATATTGGCCAAGCTGGTCTCAAACTCCTGACCTTGTGATCCGCCCACCTCGGTCTGCCAAAGTGCTGGGATTACAGGCGTAAGCCACCGCTCCCGGCCGTGTAGGCTTTTTCGGTTGTTTCCTAACAGTCCTGTGGGGTTAAATGTGTACATGCACACACTCACTGTGCAAACACATATGGAAACAGACACACCCTCACCCCTCCCCCCCGACCCCCAGACACGACAGAATAGCTAAGATAGGGACTTCGATGCAGATGCATTATTTCCAGCCCAGACATCAAGGGCAGGAGCTCCCTGTCAGAGATGCAAAGGAAGCAGAAGGAGCCTGGCCCCGGGCTCCACAGAGACGCTTTCTAGAGCACACGCACAGATGGGTTCCAGGCCAGAGGCTTCTGGCTCATATCACACCCAGCTCTCAATCAGAGCCAGAAGATCCAAGACCCGTTCACACAGGGCTCCCTCTCCTCAGGTTTAAAACCTCAAGGTACAGTAGTAGGTATGGTGGCAGTTTCCAGATAATATGACAGCACAGAAGTGACTTCCCTGACAGCATAACCACTTACGTATTTCCACTTGCCCTTTTACTCCCCACGTCCTTCAAACTGCTGGCCTGCCTATTAAAAGGGATCAACATTCTAACCAGACTTAAAGGCTTCCCCTTTCCAGCTAACGCCAAGCCCAGGGAGCAATCGGACTGCCATAAAGAAAGGGTTTCTGCTTTTAGCTTGCAATGCGGAAAGGCTCCTGTCTGGGTGACTTTCAACCCCAAGGACATCTTACGGCAGCACTATTCACAGTAACAAAAACCCAGAGCTGACCCAAAAGCCCATCAGCAAGAGCGTGGATGAGGGAACTACAACACAACTTTAACATCAACTGGACATTCCAGGTTTTTAATAATTACCGCCTTCCTTTTTTTGAGACAGAGTCTCGCTCTGTTACCCAAGCTGGAGTGCAGTAGCACGATCACGGCTCACTGCAGCCTTGACCTCCCAGACCCAAGTGATCCTCCCACCTCAGCCTCATGAGTAGCTGAGACCAGAGGTTCACACCACCATGCCTGGCTAATTTTTTTATTGTTTTGTAGAGACAGGGTTTCACTCTCTTGCCCAGGCTGGTCCTATGTGCCTTGGCTCAGAGATCCTCCCACCCCAGCCTCCAAAATGCTGAGACTACAAGCATGAGCCACCACAATCTGCCAACAATCACCTTTTGAATGCTACTCATTCTTCAACACCCCCTCCAGGAAAATTTGGAGGACTATCTGAATCTGAAGATACTACACTGTAAACTCCCCAAGGATAAGAGCTCATCCAAGTTTTCTTTGCAAAGTGAATGGAATACAAGGAATTTGAGTGGAGGAAATGGTGAAGTAAAATAAAATCTCTTAACCAGGCTTTCAGCTTCCCCTCGGCACCTGGCTCTGTTCTGTCAGAGTCCCCCACTCCCCTCTTTTAAGTTGAACATATGCACATATCAAGTGCCCAAATCTTAAGTTTACAGCTTAATGAAAGAGTCATCTGAGTTTTCATCTGGACTGGGCGTGGTGGCTCACGCCTGTAATCCCAGCACTTTGGGAGGCCTAGACAGGTGAATCACCTGAGGTCAGAAGTTCCAGACCAGCCTGGCTAACATGGAGAAACCCTATCTCTACTAAAAATACAAAAGTTAGCCCTGCACGGAGGCACATGCCTGTAATCCCAGCTATGCAGGAGGCTGAGGCAAGAGAATCGCTTGAACCCAGTGCAGAGGTTGTAGTGAGCCAAGATCGCACCATTGCACTCCAGCATCGGCCACAGGCAAAAAAAACTCCGTTTCAAAAAAAAAGAGTCATACTACTAAAGTACAAATAGATCGCATCACTTTCCTTGCTTCAGTCCCTCCAATGTCTTCCCATTTTATGAGGAATCAAATCTTTTTTATTCTAATTATTTTTAACTTTTTTCAAGACAGGGTCTCGCTATGTTGCCCAGGCTGCTCTTGAACTCCTGGCCTCAAACAATTCCCCCACCTCATCCTCCCAAAGTGCTAGGATTACAGGTGTGAGCCATCATGTCCAGTCACAGGGAATAAAATCTAAACTCCTCTTCCTGGTCTATAAACCACTGTGTCAACTGGCCTTTGCCCATCCTGCTGCCCATATAACTGGCTCATCTCACTCACTGGGCTCCAGCCACCCAGGTCCTTCTTCCCATCCCTTTACCACATCAAGCTCATTTTGACCTCAGAGCCTTGGCACCTGCTATTCCCTCTGCCTAGAATGCTCTTCCCCTAGATCTTCATAACACGTCTCAGTTAAACTGTCACCTCTTCACTGTGGACAAAAAAAGCCCACTCCCAGGCAGTCACAACCCTAATTAGTCTTTTTTCATTACCCACATCCTCCTAACTAGACTGTCAGCTGCAGGAGGGTAGAGACTGGAGGGCAGGATAGAACCTGGTGCCCGTCCCTGAAGAACACCTGCTGAGAGCATGTTACTTTTCCACTTCCTATTCATGAGGTGCCACACATTTCAGTTTTCTTCGGTCTTTATGCTTGTGTGAACTAAAAGCAACCTTGGGGAGACGGCCAGGGACCCCTCTCCTGCAGCCGCTTCAGTAGAACCAAAAGACCCCAGAGAGCCAGAGAAGCCGGCCCGGAGTAGAAACATAAAACATTAGATGGAGTTTTTTTTTTTTTAAATGAGATGCAGTCTTACTCCTGTTGCCCAGGCTGGGGTGCAGTGGCATGATCTCCACTCACTACAATCTCTGCCCCCCAGGTTCAAGCAATTCTCCTGTCTCAGCCTCCCGAGTAGCTGGGACTACAGCGCCTGCCACCACGCCAGGCTAATTTTTGCATTTTTAGTAGAGACGGGGTTTCACCTTGTTGGTCAGGCTGGTCTCAGACTCCTGATCTCAAGCGATCATTGACCATGGCCTCTCAAAGTACTGGGATTACAGACGTGAGCCACCGTGCCGGGCCAGGGATTATTTTTTAACATAAAGTGAGGTGGGGTGGGGGACACAAAGGCAGGCAGTGGAAGAAAGGCCGGCCCGGGCAAGCAGCCTCCCTTTCCACATCCCTGAGAAGGTCAACCAGTGATAATCCCATCAAAAATAACATCTCCTCTTCCCTGTAGCAGGGGAAGAAGAAGGAAAGTCCACAAGTACAGGCTGTTTCTAGAATTTCTCAGTGGCTCATGGAAATTTTGAGTTTTGCTGTCATCACACACATCCTGACACGCTGGGGGAGGGGCTTGTGAGTGCTGCCAAGAGGGAGTGATGCCAATGTAACCAAGGCCACAGTCAGGGGCTGCCAGCAGAGCTGCAGCACACACCAGAGTTTACCCAGGGTCAAGGCTCCTGCCGTGGGAGGCACCGCAGAGCGTCTGCTGGGTGTTAGGGGCGGCCGAGGAGCCGGGAACAGGAACTGGGATGTGGAATGCCTGTTCTGAGAGCTGGCACCTGGTCAGAGGCCTGGGCCTGGGGGAGTGGGTGACTTTGTACTTTTTGCACCTTTCTGGGAAGGGAGATGGGAACAGCATGGCTTGCTGCCCCTGGAAACCACTCAGGGACCTGGTGGCCTGAGAACTTGCCCAGCCTATCAGATGGAACATAGCCAGCCCTGGAGAAATGGTCAGCACTGGAATTGGAATACAGATACGCCAATCGGTGTCACATGAGCCTGGGATAACAGGCCACAGGATGCGTCCTCAGTGAGCAAGAGAGAAGGGCGGAGGCAGGGAGGAATTCCAGGGCTGGAAGCCTTGTCCTCTCCGTTTCCTGGTAGGGAAAGCAGGGCCAGCCTCCCTGCAGGCTAGCACGGCTCCACCTGGCCCCAAGCCTCAAGTACACTGTGCTCTAAGAAGACAAGCGCCCAGTTCCTGGGGCCTGGCTGGGGCCCTCTGGTTTCCAGGAAAGAACAGAGAGTGAAGACTGTTCAATCTTACAGGAGTGTCTCAAATAGCAAGATACACACCCCACCCCACCCCACTTGCTCCCACATAAAAACAACTTTTAGGGTTTCCAGTAAAATAAGTGAAAGACGACAGCTGGCATAGGCCTGCCACCCTCCTGGTCCCTCCAGGACAGCAGCCCAGCGATCCCTGTGTGATGGAGGAGGTGCTTCTGAGCTGGCTCCTTGTTTCGCAGCAGGAAACAAAGAAAAGACTTAAGGGACAGAAGGGATCTTCCAAGGATGAAACGAATCCTCAGATCCAGGGACAAATTGGCTGGGAGGCAGTCCCTGCCCTCAGAGTTTACAGTTAACACATATTTATTAGGACCACCTCCTGGTGGTCGTTTTTGGCTCATATCATACCCAGCTTTCCATCAAAGCCAGCAGAAGACCTGCATGGACAAGGCTCCCTATCTTCAGGTTAAAAAAAAAACCACCACCACCAGCCGGCCGCGGTAGCTGCCACCTGTAATCACAACACTTTGGAAGGCTGATGCAGGCAGATGACTTGAGCCCTGGAGTTTGAGACCAGCCTGGCCAACACCAGGAAACTCCATCTCTACCAAAAATGAAAAAATATTAGCTGGGCATGGTAGCATGCGTCTGTGGTCCCAGCTATTGAAGAGACTGAGGCAGGAGGATCGCTTGAGGCCAGGAGGCAGAGGCCATGGTGAGGTGAGCTCATGACACTGCATTCCAACATGGGTGGCAGTGTAAGACTGTCTCAAAAAGGAACAAAACAAAAGCAAAGCAAAACCCTCAAGGTTGTACATTTTGTTCTTTTTTTTTTTTTTTAAATAGAGTCAGAGTCTCACTTTTGTGGCATAGGCTGCAGTGCAGCGGTCGGGGCATAGCTCCCTGCAGACTTCAACTCCTGGGCTCAAGGGATCTTCCCACCTCACAAGTAGCTAGGACTATAGGCACATGCCACCAGGCCTGGACTAATTTTTCTTTTCTTTTCTTTTCTTTTTGAGACGGAGTCACATTCTGTTGCCCAAACTGAAGTGCAATGGTACAATCTTGGTTCACTGCAACCTTCGCTTCCTGGGTTCAAGCGATTCTCCTGCCTCCACCTCCTGAGTAGCTAGAATTACAGGCACGTTCCACCACACTTGGCTAATTTTCGTATTTTTAGTAGAGACGGGATTTCACTATGTTGGCCAGGCTGGTCTCGAACTCCTGACCCCAGGCGATCCACCCGCCTCTGCCTCCCAAAGTGCTGGGATTATAGGCATGAGTCACCACGCCTGGCCAATTTTTAATTTTTTTCTTGTAGAGATGGGTCTTGCTGTGTTGCCTGGGCTGGTCTTGAACTCCAAGACTCAAGCAATCCTCCCCAGCCTCATCTGTCCAAGTAGCTGGGAGGTTTGTACCAGTGACCAACAGTTAACTAACTCCATACTCTTACTACCTGTGTTTGCGTGCCTATTTCATAGGATTCTCACTAAGTATTAAAATATTCCATCTTTACAATCTGACAGGTTGAAAATTACCTATTTTTCTAATTCTTTTAATTTGCATTTCTTTGATTATCAGTGTTTTAGGTTTACTAACATTTGTATTTCTTCTCCTTTTACAAACTGCCTGGTTACTCTTCTTTGCCCCCACTTTTTTTTTTTTTTTTTTTTGGGTTAGAATTTCCCTCTGATGTCCAGGCTGGAGTGCAGTGGCACGATCTCGGCTCACGGCAACCTCCCCCTCCTGGGTTCACTCGATTCTCCTGCCTCAGCCTCCCGAGTAGCTGGGATTACAGGTGTGTGCCACCACACGCGGTTAATTTTTGTATTTTTAGAAGAGTCAAGGTTTCATCATGTCGGCCAGGCTGGTCTCAAACTCCTCACCTCAGGTGATCCGCCCGCTTCGGCCTCCCAAAGTGCTGGGATTACAGGCATGAGCCACCAAGACCGGCCTTCTTTGCCCGTTTCGCTGATATATTCATTTTTTTTTAATTGGCTTATTATATGGCAAAATATTAACCCTTTGTCACATTACAAATATTCTTCCTATTTAGTTGTTTGCCTTTTAATTTTGTTAACTGGTATTATTGAGACAATTTTTAAAGAGGTAAAGCCAAATATACCATGCTTTTCCTTTTTAAGGTTTCTGCTTTTAGTAACATGCTTGGAAAATCCTCTCCTGCCCTGTAAGTATAGGCATATACACCCGTATTTTCTGGCATTTAAAAAATTTCGGGCCAGGTGCGGTGGCTCACACCTCTAATCCCAGCACTTTGGGAGGCCAAGGCAGGCAGATCACGAGGTTAGAAGTTTGAAACCAGCCTGGCCAGCACAGTGAAACCCCATCTCTACTAAAAATACAAAAAGTAGCCAGGCATAGCGGCACACGCCTATAGGCGCAGCTACGTGGTAGGCTGAGGCAGGAGACACGCTTGAACCTGGGAGAGGTTGCGGTGAGCTGAGAGCGTGCCACTGTACTCCAGCCTGGGCGACAGAGCGAGACTCTGTCTTAAAACAAAATTTTTTTTTTTAAAGACCAGGCATGGTGGTTCACTCCTGTAATCCCAGCACTTTGGGAGGCCGAAGTGTGGGCGGTTGCATGAGACTAGGAGTTTAAGACTAGCCTGGGCAACATGGCAAAACCCTGTCTCTACTAAAAATACAGTAATTAGCTGGGCATGGTGGTATACGCCTGTGGTCCCAGGTACTTGGAAGGCTGAAGTAGGAGGATCACTTGAGCCTGGGAGGTCAAGGCCACAGTGAGCCATGATCGAGCTGCTGCACTCCAGCCTGGGGGACAGAGTGAGACACTGTCTCAGAGGGTTAAAAAAAGGGGGAATGGAGAGGCTTACTGATGATAAGTGGGGATGGAGGGGGATGCTTTCTGCTCTGTCTTTGAAGATCTTCACTTGGAGGTATTAAGTAGATTCCAGTCTTGGACTGGCATCTGTGTGTGCGTCCCTAACTCAGTAACACAGCCCCTCTCTGCCCAAGGAACTGGCCTGACACTTCAAGATTGCTCGACCAGACGCTGCTGTCCCTTCTAAGCATGACACTCCGCAACTAGTTAAACTCTGCCCTCAGTTTTCCCTCTCTGTCACAGGGGTACCACAGTGTGTCCTCTGCCCATCCTACACTCAACCACAGCTCTCTGTACAGAGGCAAGTTGTTGGTACAATCATCCCTTGAAATCAGCAGGGGACTGGTTCCAAGACACCCTCACCGCCTCCAGGATACCAAAATCTACAGTTGCTCAAGTTCCTGACATAAAATGGCTTAGTATTTGCACATAACCTACGCACTTCCTCCCTACAGACTTTAAACCATCTTTAAGTTACTTATAGTATCAAATATAATGTAATCGCCAAGTAACTAGTTTCTATACTGTGTTTATTTGTATTCTTTGTCATTGTTATATTGTTAGTTTTGTTTCTTTTCTCAAATACTTACCATCTGTGGTTGATTGAACCCACAGACACAGAGACTGAGAGCTGACTGTACTGCAAAGTATCTAATAAGGACACAGGGCCTGTAGGCTAGCCTTCCACCCACCTGGTTTTCAGATCTGTGTCACCATGAGGGGAGCAGACAGCGTGAGGCTGGGCCCCAGCCTCCACAGCAGGCAGGCCTGCCTTCTCTCCTAGGTCTAAAAGAAAACTCTTTTCTTTGGCAGCTCTGTGGACCAGAGTTGACTAAGTGATATTTCCCCCCACCCTGAATCTAGTGGGTTGAATACTATCCCCCAAAAATAACTATCTACCTGAAATCTCAGAAAGTGGCTTTATTTGGAAATAGAGATTGTGCAGATAAAATCAGTTAAGGATGTCAACATAAAATTGTCCTAGATTTATGACGGGCCCTAAATCCAATGACCTATGTCTTTTTTTTTTTTGTAGACAGAGTTTTGCTCTTGTTGCCTAGGCCAGAGTGCAATGACACAATCTCAGCTCGATGCAACCTCAGCCTTCTCCTGCCTCAGCCTTCCAAGTAACTGGGATTACAGGGATGCGCCATCACGCACAGCTAATTTTGTATTTTTAGTAGAGATGGTGTTTCTCCATGTTGGTCACGCTGGTCTTAAATTCCTGATCTCAGGTGATCTGCCTGCCTCGGCCTCCCAAAGTGTTGGGATTACAGGCATGAACCACCATGCCCAGCCCTATGTCTTTATAAGAGAAAGAAAAGGGAGATTTGGACATGCAGAGACACACACCAAGAGGGGAAGGCCAGGTGAAGATACAGTCAGAGATGGGAGTGGTGCGGCCACAAGCCAAGGAATGCCAGGAGCCACCAAAAGCTGGGAAATGAAGGAAGCATTCTCCCCTACAGCTGTCAGAGGGATTATGGTCCTGGTGACACCTGCATGTCACACTGCTGGCCTCTGGACTTGTGAGAGAATACAATTCTGTCATTTTTAAGCCACCAAGTTTCTGATAACTTGTTGGGGGAGTCATGGGACACAGATCCATGGGTAAATACTTTGGTGCTAGAATTAACACCTGATCATGTTGAGCTGTAGCTGGCAGAATGCTAAGACGACTCCAGTGACCCTCACCAGTGTGTAGGCGGGACCATACACATGAGACGTCACTCCTGGGATCACGGCACATTGTGTGGCAAAAGTGAGTCTGCGGGTATTTGCCGACCAACTTAGTTGACCTAAGACAAATAAATTACCCTGAGTGGGCCAGAACGAATCTGGCGAGCCCTTAAAAGGGATGGCTCCTTTCGGCAAAAAGAGTTGAAGCTGAGAAAGACTCAATGTGGGCAAGAGGCTGGGTCACCGGGGATGGAGGGGACCACGTGGAAAGGAAATATGGGGGCCTTTAGAAACTGAGAGTGTTTCCTGGCTGACAGCCAGCAATGAAAAACAGGAGTGAGGAGGCAATGGACCTCAGCTCCATAGCCACAAGGAGCTGCATTTTCCACAACCACTTGAGCCTGGCAGAGGCCCCGAAGCCCCAGCTGACACCCTAAGTTTAGTCTTCTAGCACCCCCAGCAAAGAAGCCAGTCATGCAGTACTCTGACTTCTGGCCCAAGGAATTGTGAGACGGGCGACGCACAGTGGCTCACGCCTGTAATCCCAGAACTGTGGGAGGCCGAGGCGAGATGATCATGAGCTTGAGATCGGGACCATCCTGGCCAACACGGTGAAACCCTGTCTCTACTAAAAATACAAAAATTAGCTGGGCATGGGGGTGCGTGCCTGTAGTCTCAGCTACTCGGGGGACTGAAGCAAGAGAAGTGCTTGAACCCAAGAGGGGGAGGTTGCAGTGGGCTGAGATCGCGCCACTGCATTCCAGCCTGGTGACAAAGCGAGATTCTGTCTCTCACAAAAAAAAAAAAAAAAAAAAAAAAAAAGAATTCTGAAATGATAAATGGGTGTGTGTCATACTAATACACTTATCTGTTCTGATAGACAGACCTCCACTCTCCAGACCAGTGAAGTGTCAAGTCCTGGTCACAGGTGACAGAGCCAGGCAGTCTGGGTCTCTGCACTCCTTCCTATCCCAGTTTACTTCCAATGAACCCACTCTTCTGACACACGCCTACCAAGAGTGGGTGGTACGGAAATGAGCGGTAGTGGGTTCCGATGGTAGACCAGGCAGGCCTTACAGCTTCTAACATTAGGCTACGGTTCTGGTCTCACAAAGAATTCTAAAGCTAGAAACTGGACAGGAGTACTGTTTAAGACAAATACAGGCCAGATGTGGTGGCTCACACCTGTAATCCCAGCACTTTGGGAGGCCAAGGCAGGAGGATCACCTGAGGTCAGGAGTTTGAGACCAGCCTGACCAACATGGAGAAACCCGTCTCTACTAAAAAATACAAAACTAGCTGGGCGTGGTGGCGCATGCCTGTAATCTCAGCTACTTGGGAGGCTGAGGCAGAAAATCACTTGAACCTGGGAGGCGGAGGCTGTGGTGAGCCAAGATCGCACCTTTGCACTGTAGTCTGGGCAACAAGAGTGAACTGCAGAGAGGGAGAGCGTAGCCGAGTAGGCACAGATCTGAATGGGGTATGCAGCAGGTAAGACACTGATCAAGAGTTCAGTACATCCCAGTGCAGCTCTGGGTGCAGAATCAGAGTATTTGAAGCGCTTGCCTCTCCCTCCAGATGTTATCATCTGAAAGGTGAGTTGAGTCAAATAATCAACAGTCCACATGTGGAAATGTGTATTAATCAAGGCCACGATAATAAGAGCAAAACCAGTGGAAAATAACCTTCACTCCAACTAAGAAAATGACTGAGAGGGTTTTTCACTGTTGGAGAAAAAGTCATAATGAAAAGGGAAAGACTAAAATAAAAAGGAATTTATGAGGTTAGATCAGAATCAGAAGTAGCAGGACAAACTCAAATTTTTTAGTAAACATGTATACAGATAGGTACTGAATTATCTGTTTTCCAGCTTTGTCTGCTAAGAGGACCTAGAAGCAATGACACCTCCAGTAGCAATGAACATACCTAGCAACCAGACCTTGTTTTTTAAACACCATTCTCCAATAAAGGAAACCAGAACCCCTTGAAGAAGTGGCTGATTCTAGGGCTGGGGCAGAGAAGTTACAAGATGAGCATGGAATATTTTGTAGTACCAGAAATTAAGGAAACATTAAAAAAAAAAAAAAAAAAGGCATGGGCTTCCCAGAAGAACCAGGAGACAACTAGAAGGAGCTCCTAAATTGTCAAAGTTAGAACAATTGGAGCCACAAATAATATTCTTCTTTTTTTTTTTTTTGAAATGGAGTCTTGCACTGTTGCCTGGGCTGGAGTGCAATGGCACAATCTCGGCTCACTGCAACCTCTGCCTCATGGGTTTAAGCAATTTTCCTGCCGCAGCCTCCCGAATAGCTGGGATTACAGGTGCCCGCCACCATGCCCAGCTAATTTTTGGTATTTTTTTTAGTATAGACAGGGTTTCACTATGTTGCCCAGTCTGGTCTCGAACTCCTGACCTCGTGATCCACCTGCCTTGCTGTTATTATTCAATTTTAACCCATAGACTAAAATCTGGGCTGGGCGCAGTGGCTCACACCTGCAATCTTAGCACTTTGGGAGGCTGAGGCAGGCAGATCACATGAGGTCGGGAGTTCGAGACCAGCCTAACCAACATAAAGAAACCCCGTCTCTACTAAAAATACAAAATTAGCCAGGCATGGTGGGTCATGACCGTAGTCCCAGCTACTCGGGAGACTGAGGCAGGAGACTCACTTGAACCCGGGAGGTGGAGGCTGTAGTGAGCCGATATCATGCCATTGGGCTCCATCCTGGGCAATAACAAAACTCCTTCTCCAAAAAATAAAATTTAATTTAAAAAGTTAAAAAAAAATAAAATCTGATTATGAATAATCAAATGCATAAATAAATGGGAAAGCAGAGCCAGCTCTTGCTTACAAAAAATTCTAATAAATAAATGTAGAAGAGGAAAATAGAGAATCATTAGGCAAACATCACAATAATCATTGCTGCAAGCAGGGTCCACAGATGGATGCTAAAATTTGGGGATGAAAGCACAAGGAGAAACAGAT